CAATATTATAAATATCAACAAAATACAAATATTATCCTTAATATTTTTAGAGCAAATCACTAATTTAGTTCTTAAAATTTGATATTTATTACAAATTAATTTTGGATTTTTTTTTATTACAATTTAATTTTCAACGTTTATTTTATTTATGGTCAAAGGTCCTTTTTTTTTAAACAAAAAAATTTAAAATAATTTTACAGCATTTAAACATTTTAAAAAATAATTCGAAGAGTAACATTCGTTAATTAATTATTAATAATAATTGAATATATTTGTACTATTTATTTATTTTTAATTAAAAATAAAAAAAATTAAATGTTTAAAATAACTAAAAAAGATTAAGAATTACGTTTATAAAAAATATATATAAATTAAATTATATTTAGCCATATCTTTACTACTATAATAATAAAATAATTTAAAAGAATTTTAATAAAGATATCAAATATAAAATTTGTTATTTTAATAAGAAATATAAAAAAAAAATTTGTCTGTAAGTAAGTTTTTGTAGATATTTTACATAATGGAAAAATTTATTCTTATGTTATTCGAGTAACATAAAAATAATGTTAAAAATAAAACATTATTATTATTTAAAAATAAAAATTAAAGAATTATTATAAATTTTGATAAAATAAATAATTTTACAAATTTAAGACTAAATTATAATATTTATAGAAAATAGTTTGAAGAAGAAAATAATAATTTGTTGCAAGTAATCTTCCAAGAAAAAGCACCACGACTCAGACCTCTCCATTTTCTTCTTCTCAAATCTTGCTTTCTCTTGTTCATCGTTTATCGATCCCTCTCTGCTTTAACTTATCATCATCTCATACCCTTTTACTATTCTTCAATTTCAAATCCATCGTACTTTCCCCAGGAAAACAAAACAAAAAAAGTATCATGGATGCAACGCGATTCTAGGGTTCCCCTGTTTGGCTGGACTCCGATTTTGCTAATCCAATGCGATTTCGTTGAAAACGTCAAGAAAGTCTGAGAAGAAGCGAACAGATAAAGAAAAAGGGAAGAATATGTATAGCAATTTCAAGGAACAAGCCATAGAATACGTGAAGCAGGCGGTGCAAGAGGATAATGCGGGAAATTATAGCAAGGCCTTCCCTCTTTACATGAATGCCCTCGAGTACTTCAAGACCCATTTGAAGTACGAGAAGAACCCTAAGATCAAGGAAGCAATCACTCAGAAATTCACCGAGTATCTCCGCCGTGCCGAGGAGATCCGCGCAGTTCTTGACGATGGCGGCGCAGGTCCTGCCTCTAACGGGGACGCTGCCGTAGCTACCAGGCCTAAGACCAAGCCAAAGGATGGCGGGGGAGAGGGAGGCGATGGCGAGGACCCCGAGCAAGCCAAGCTTCGGGCTGGCTTGAACTCCGCTATCATCAGGGAGAAGCCCAACGTCAAATGGAGCGATGTTGCTGGCCTCGAGAGCGCCAAGCAGGCCTTGCAGGAGGCCGTTATTTTGCCTGTTAAGTTCCCTCAGTTTTTCACCGGTAAGGGTTGCTACTTTATTTCAATCCTGGTTTCCATGGGTTTTATTTCTTTTGTCAGTTGGATTCTAATCCTACGGGTTGCATCTATCTTATATCTTGTAACTTGTAATTCTATCAGCGCCTGTTAATTGGATTTCAAATTAGTATAAATTCAGCTTTTCTGGAATGCCTTTAATTTTGTTGTATTTGCAATTAGGGTTTGTATCTTATTCCAGGAACACTACCATGCTATTCGTGGACCCTGCTTTTTGACCATATTATCTTTGTTGCCGTGCACATTATGTCTAGGTTATGGTGCTGTGTATTTCTGGATTCCTGTTCAATAATTTGCAATTTGTTAGCAATCTTATATGTAATGAGTTTGCATGTTTAGCTGCTTCAATATCTTCACTTAAGTCTGCCCTAGAAAATAATGGAATAATTGGAACATTGTGATGTTCTTGTTTCATTTCTATTGGTAAAGTTCATATTAGTTCGCTTTATGGGATGTATCAGGCTGGAAAGGAGAAACTCAATGTTGTTACCATACATCCTGTATTTGCTGCTTTATTCGATTTGTTCGATTTATATCAGAATTTAACATTTATGTTCCTATTTTTTCAAGTTCAAAGTTAACTTATTGATCTTTTATAGGAAAGAGACAACCATGGAGAGCCTTTCTATTGTATGGGCCACCTGGGACTGGAAAGTCCTACCTGGCAAAGGCTGTTGCAACTGAAGCTGATTCAACATTTTTCAGGTAATATTCAATTATGAAATATTCGATTGAAGATTTTATTTGTCTACAAGAAACTGTTCTGGATTTTAATATCAGCTGTCCTAGCATCTTACATGGTGTGCTTATCTAATATTATAACTTTTCAGGTAAAATGAAAGCTGATGCTTGGGCTGTAAGAATTAACGTTGACAATTATTACTGTGCAAATATTGATATCATACTTTTGTACTACGTGGTGTATGTCTTGAGAAAACTGCCGTTACTTTGTCAGAAGTTCCATGATGTTTGTGATGCAATCTCTCATTTCCTTTCTATCTCGATGGTCTAAAATTCAGATATCAATTATCGTATTATGTTAGTCTAATGATAATGAAAGAATAATAACAGAAACCTTGATTTGGCTTTCAAGGTGAATTGGTTCCATCCATCTCTAGATAGTTTCCCTGAGCAGATATGAGTTTGTGACTTTTTGTAATAATTATAACTCAGTAGTTAGCATTTCAATCTGTTCTTTGTTGGTCTTTAAAATGAAAGGGAAAAACATAATTATAACACGGTAGCTAGTGTTTCAATCTCTTGTTTACTGGTCTACAATAAAAGAAAAGTGGAGAATTTGTTCCCTTCTCTTGTGGCTTCTATGCCTTTTAGTGACTGATTGGAAACATGATTGGTCACCTTAAGAGCTTCTTTTTTATAAGAGATTTTATATCAAATTGTGCTTATAATTTAAGATTTCTATGGTTCGGACTCCCAATTTCACATTTTGGGAAACTTTTACTAAGCTCATTTGCTCAGGCTAGCAATATTACCATCTGGGCTTTCTAGGATTTGGATGATAAGTCCTGCCAGAGTTGTAATGATCTTAGAAGTTTAGAAATATTTTTATGTAATACATGTTAATTTGCCTAGTTTGTTGGCTGTTTAGTAACTTACATATTCTCTAGGAAAAGATAATCTTCTGGTGAATGTCGTTAGGAAATCAAATATGACCTATTATATTCTAATCCTATAAAAGAAATTATCAGCGTGAGATGAACAGATTAAGGTAAATGTATATAGGGAAAAGAGTCCTCCCAAAATTACAACAATGCCCGAATAATAGAAACATGCCTTAGATTCCCAAAGATAGTGTGCTGTATCTGGCCCCTTTATTTGGACCTCTTTCTGCATTGTCATTTCTCTGAATATGAACCACAGGTAAACAAATCAAACTAGAACGATCAACACCATAATGTAGTTGAAGCATAAACTTTAGGATACTACTGCCGTTTAATTCTTTGAGCTGTTATAATAGTTCCATTTTCACTTCATATAGTTGTTATTTTCTTTTATGTAGTTTGGCAACTGACGTCCATTATCACTCCGTTTTTTTATACTTTATTGTGTGGCTAGGCACCATATTTTACGTCCACTCTGGCTTCATTATAATTGATAGTTTATTGTACCTGTGGCTAAGCAACTAATGTTCGTCCATTATCAACTTATGTGTTTTGCTTGACCATACAACTATATGGCCAGTGTACGTATTTCTCATATTTCATGTCCATAAACATTAAGAAGTTGTGCTATTGCATTGTCAATGAACCATCTACTCCATCAGCTAGTGTATATCATCTTGTCTGTGAAATTTCTTTTTGAGACTCGTGTGTATCAACTTATAAGCATATCAGATTTACTTCTCCTTCTATTTTTATAGCCCATTTTCTGCTCATACTAGTCAGTTTAATGTTCAGTTCTTGTAGTTCAGGCCCTTAAATTGTTTCTTGTGCATGCATCAGGCTTTAATCTTTAATTTTTTCCTTTTCCATCCACTAGTGTTTCCTCATCAGACCTGGTGTCAAAGTGGATGGGTGAAAGTGAAAAGCTAGTTTCAAACCTTTTCACTATGGCCCGTGAAAGTGCTCCATCCATAATCTTCATTGATGAAATTGATTCATTATGTGGGCAGCGTGGGGAGGGCAATGAGAGTGAAGCTTCAAGACGTATTAAAACAGAACTTCTTGTGCAGATGCAGGTATTTATTTTTGTGTGGCATAACCAGCTTGAAATAATCTTAAGCTTTCTTTAAAATTATTTTATTT